GGGGGGAAAGTGTTAGATCGGATACGCTGTGTGTTTGAGAGATCAGTCTTTCTCCTCATCTCTTTCTCTATCTATCTCTCTCTATCTCTATCTCTCTCTCTCTCTCTATTTCTCTCTCTCTATTTCTCTCTCTCTATCTCTCTCTCTCTTTCTCTCTCTATCTCTCTCTCTCCCTCTCTCCTGATACAGGCATGACGTTACTCTCCTCTCACTCTCACAGTGAAGCCAATATTAGTATGTGTGGACAGATGGCTTTAGTACAGGGGTCTGTTATACATGCTCTACTTACCCCAAAGGTCTGATTGAACCAGGACACACACACACACACACACACACACACACACACACACACACACACACACACACGCACAACACTTGTTCACAAATCCAAGCTATATAAGACCACTTACCTGACACACACATTTGTGCGCTCACATACGCATGTACAGTGTCTTCAGAAAGTATTCACACCCCTTGACTTTTTCCACATTTTGTTGTGTTACAGCCTGCATTTGAAATGGATTAAATTAAAATGTTGTGCCCCTGATCTACACACAATACCCCACAATGTCAAAGTGGAATTTTGTTTTAGACATTTTTACAAATTAATAAATTTTAGTGTTTAACATGATTTTTGAATGATTACCCCATCTCTGTAACCTACACATTACAATTATCTGTAAGGTCCCTCAGTCAAGTAGTGCATTTCAAACACAGATTCAACCACAAAGACCAGGGAGGTTTTCCAATGCCTCGCAAAGAAGGCACCTATTGGTAGATGGGTATAAAAAAAAGCAGACATTGAATATCCCTTTAAGCATGTTGAAGTTATTAATGATGCTTTGGATGGTGTATCAATACATCCAGTCACTACAAAGATACAGGTGTCCTTCCTAACTCAGTTGCCGGAAAGCTCCACTATCTGTACTGGGGTCAGCTATTGGCCACCTGGCGTGTGTGTGTGTAGAGGACATGTGATGTGTTTGTGGGTCGCTCTCTCTCTCTCTCTCTCTCTCTCTCGCTCTCTCTCTCTCTCTCTCTCTCTCATTGTGTAAGGAATTGAGACTTTACAATGAGCTAAGGAATGAGTGAAGGAGGGGGAGTGGTGTGTATGTTTGTGTGTGTGTCTGGTTGGTGTTAAGGCGTGGTTACAGTGGGAGGTAATAGGGTGCTGTAAACTAGCAGTGAGAGTGTGTGTAGGGGTGTGTGTGTTGTCTGCGAGCCATAGCGCCTGCTCATCACCTCAAGCCCTGCAGTCCTCTGTCTCCCTGGGTGTTCTGGCACACACACAGGACTAGTGTGTGTGTTCAGTGGTCTGGCAGCTACACAGGATCCAGATTGTGTTCTGGGCAGGAAGCCAGCCTAACCCCACCCTCGTCTCTCTACGTCTCTCACTCTGTCTCTCTATGCTCCCGTTCTCATTTTGGTTTTAGACATGTTTACAAATTAAGCATTTTTAGTGGTTATTAGACTGTCAAAATTGTAACTACATTCATCAAAAGAACACGACTGCCTGCAAAAAGATTAGTGCAACCATACTTGTCTCTTGAGTCCAAGCAGACAAAACAGAAAGTTAGTCTGTGTTTAAAAAATCCCAGTACATCAATACATTTTCTTTGCAGTCGCTAAATCATGATGATCAAAATTGTAAATACAACTATCCAAAGGTGCAGCATATGGGCAATTACTCTCATTGTATGCATATTTCACCAAACAATTTCATACATACTGTATCAAATCAAAAAGTATTCCTGATTTTAAAAAAGGAAATAAACAATAGGTACATTGTGTGCTGGATTCATGTTTTCAATACAAAGGTTGGTTTTCTCATAGTTTTATAGATTTTCCATTGGCGCACAGAAAGACATTCCACACTAGAAATAAGGAAAGGTGCATGAGTGTGCAAAGCTGTCATCAAGGCAAAGGGTGGCTATTTGAAGAATCTCAAATATAAAATATATTTTGATTTGTTTAACACTAATTTTGGTTACTACATGATTCCATATGTGTTATTTCATAGTTTTGATGTCTTCACTATTATTCTACAATGTAAAAAAAATAAAAAATAAAGAAAAACACTTGAATGAGTAGGTGTGTCCAAACTTTTGACTGGTAGTATATGTTTCAACACAGATCAAAAAAATGCTTGTACGTGATTGAGAAAAACTGTAATGACTGAAAGGTACTACAATGTGTAGTATAGTATTCTACAGTACACTACTACATTCTATAGTAAGCACTACACAATCGAGGGATACTGCAGTGTGGAGTATAGTATTCTACAGTATACTACAATTTAATACAGAATACTATAGCATTAAGTACTATAGTATTATATAGTACACTGTAGTATTTTCTTATGTGGGTTAACTCACTTTATCTCTTACTTCAGTGGTATGATATGAAATATGTACACTTTGTGTGTGGGTGCGCGTGCCGGTATGCGTGTATGTGTGTGTGTGCATGTGTGTAAGTGTGTGTTTAGAGGGGCTAGTGTGTTAAGGATAGGGTTAGGAACAATATGAACTACCCCCTTCCACCTTCACACAAGTCATGGCAGCCTGATAAGTTCAATGAAGCCCTTGTTCCCTGTGTGTGTTCTCCCCTGACCAGGCTGCGGTGGTGGTGGTGTTTAACTTTGCCATGGTGCTGCTCATCTTCCCTGCCATCCTCAGTATGGACCTGTATCGCAGAGAGGACCGGCGTTTTGACATCTTCTGCTGCTTCTACAGGTAACACACACACAGATACAGACACGCACAATACCAACATGTTTCAAGCAGACCACCATAGTCCCCGTGCCCAAGGACACTAAGATAACCTGCCTAAATGACTACCGACCCGTAGCACTGACGTCTGTAGCCATGATGTGCTTTGAAAAGCTGGTCATGGCTCACATCAACACCATTATCCCAGAAACCCTAGACCCACTCCAATTTGCATACCGCCCCAACAGATCCACAGATGATGCAATCTCTATTGCACTCCACACTGCCCTTTCCCACCTGGACAAGAGGAACACCTACGTGAGAATGCTATTCATTGACTACAGCTCAGCATTCAACACCATAGTGCCCTCAAAGCTCATCACTAAGCTAAGGATCCTGGGACTAAACACCTCCCTCTGCAACTGGATCCTGGACTTCCTGACGGGCCGCCCCCAGGTGGTAAGGGTAGGTAACAACACATCTGCCACACTGATCCTCAACACGGGGGCCCCTCAGGGGTGCGTGCTCAGTCCCCTCCTGTACTCCCTGTTCACCCATGACTGCATGGCCAGGCCAGGCACGACTCCAACACCATCATTAAGTTTGCAGACGACACAACAGTGGTAGGCCTGATCACTGACAATGATGAGACAGCCTATAGGGAGGAGGTCAGAGACCTGGCCGTGTGGTGCCAGGATAACAACCTCTCCCTCAACGTGACCAAGACAAAGGAGATGATTGTGGACTACAGGAAAAAAAAGAGGACTGAGCACGCCCCCATTCTCATCGACAGGGCTGTAGTGGAACAGGTTGAGAGCTTCAAGTTCCTTGGTGTCCACATCACCAACGAACTATCATGGTCCAAACACAACAAGACAGTTGTGAAGAGGGTACGACAAAGCCTATTCCCCCTCAGGAGATTGAAAAGATTCGGCATGGGTCCTCAGATCCTCAAAAAATTATACAGCTGCACCATCGAGAGCATCCTGACTGGTTGCATCACCGCCTGGTATGGCAACTGCTTGGCCTCCGACCGCAAGGCACTACAGAGGGTAGTGCGTACAGCCCAGTACATCACTGGGGCCAAGCTTCCTGCCATCCAGGACCTCTATACCAGGCGGTGTCAGAGGAAGGCCCTCAAAATTGTCAAAGACTCCAGCCACCCTAGTCATAGACTGTTCTCTCTGCTACCGCACGGCAAGTGGTACCGGAGTGCCAAGTCTAGGTCCAAAAGACTTCTCAACAGCTTCTACCCCCAAGCCATAAGACTCCTGAACAGCTAATCATGGCTACCCGGACTATTTGCACTGCCCCCCCACCCCCACCCCCCACCCCATCTTTTTACGCTGCTGCTACTCTGTTAATTATTTATGCATAGTCACTTTAACTCTACCCACATGTACATATTACTTCAACTACCTGAACTAGCCGGTGCCCCCGCACATTGACTCTGCACCGGTACCCCCCTGTATATATAGCCTCCCTACTGTTATTTTATTTGACTTCTACTCTTTTTTTCTCAACACTTTTGTGTTGTTGTTTTATTTTATTTTTTTATTTAACATAAATGCACTGTTGGTTAAGGGCTGTAAGTTATCATTTCACTGTAATGTCTGCACCTGTTGTATTCGGCGCATGTGGCCAATAACATTTGATTTGATTTGACACACGCACAAACACATACGCACACACACACTATGAGCTTGATTCAATCTGTAATGCTGAAGGGCTGCGCTACAGCGTGATAGAAATATAAAGCCAGTGTTCCCATGTTAGCGTAGGCTGCATTCATGGTGAACGCTGCATATGTCGGCTCAATCAGAAATTATGTTTAAATTTCAATCGCGGTATAGCGCTGAACTTCAGCGATATGGACTGAATCGAGCCCTCTATATCCCTCCCCACCCTGTGGCTGAAAAAGGTTTATTGTGTGTTGTGTTTTTCCATGTGATTACAGCTGAGTGTCTCTCTCTACCTCAAATCCCCCTCACTGATCATTTAATTACTGTTTAGAGTTTTCTGTCTGTCTGGCTGGCTGTTTATCATTCTCTCTCTTTAGTAAACATCAACTGCCTGCCTGTGCATGTTCAGCTGCAAAACACTCACAGAGGCACACATTAAATACACTCACAGAAATACACACATACTGTATACCAAACATCTCCAGCCCCAGTGCTAACTGTCTGTCTGTCAGTCTATCTGTCTCCAGCCCCAGTGCTAACTGTCTGTCAGTCTGTCTGTCTCCAGCCCCAGTGCTAACTGTCTGTCTGTCAGTCTGTCTGTCTCCTGCCCCAGTGCTAATTGTATGTCTGTCAGTCGGTCTGTCTCCAGCCCCAGTGCTAATTGTCTGTCTGTCAGTCTGTCTGTCTCCAGCCCCAGTGCTAACTGTCTGTCAGTCTGTCTGTCTCCAGCCCCAGTGCTAATTGTCTGTCTGTCAGTCTGTCTGTCTCCAGCCCCAGTGCTAACTGTCTGTCAGTCTGTCTGTCTCCAGCCCCAGTGCTAATTGTCTGTCTGTCAGTCTGTCTGTCTCCAGCCCCAGTGCTAACAGACTGTCTCTCTGTCTGTGTCCCTCCAGCCCGTGTGCTAACAGGGTGATCCAGATTGAGCCCCAGGTCCACCTGGATGGAGCGGACGGCAGTCGCTACAGCCCCCCTCCCCCCTCCTACCACACCACCCCTCCCACATACAGCAGCTCACCCCCGTCCTACAGCAGCCATGGTTTCTCCCAGCAGACTCAGATCACCATGCAGTCTACTGTCCAGCTGAGGACAGAGTACGACCCCAGGACTCAGGCCTTTTACACTACGGCCGAACCCAGATCCCAGATATCTGTACAACCCTTTACACCCACGCCTGTAGCCACCGGCCCCGCCAACAACCCCAATGCCAGTCACGCTGGTCACAGAAACAACAACCACCACAGCAACCATCTCAGCCGGAGTGGGAGTAGCAGTGGTCACGTCAACCTCAACAACAACAACGGTAGCCGTGGTTCAGGCTCGGTCCCGTTCCCTCCTCCTCCCCAGTCGTCCTCTGGCGTCCCCACTGTCTCCCCCCAGGCGGGGGAGGGGGTGTGTGTGTCGGGGGAGAGTGCCAGCTCCACCAGGGATCTGCTGTCCCAGTTTGGAGGGGCCTCTCTGGGGCTGCGCTGTCTGGAGCCCCCCTGCTCCCGGTGGACCCTGGCCTCCTTTGCCGAGAAGCACTACGCCCCCTTCCTACTGCAGCCCACCACCAAGGTCAGTCTGTCTGTCTCCCTGTGTGCGTGCGTGTTCCTCACTAGCAGTGGCTAACTCTCCCAGCCTGCTGAGTCAGAGCTAGCTAACCACAGAGCTTCAGTAGTGATTTCCAGTATGTTCCAGTACGTTCAAGTAATCCTATATCTTAGAGCAGGGCTAGACCAGACCAGGCTTTCAGTCTGTGGTCAGTATCTGACTAAAAACAGTTCTCTCTTCTCTCCTGGGTGGGCCCTTAACCTGACCTCCTGACGTAACTGACTCAGCCTGTAGTCAGACACTACATTAGTCTGGCTGGAGTGTTGAGATGGGTCACTAAACTGGGATAGTAAAACAGGTCCTGATAGTGGTAGCTAAGTGGTGTGACTACGTCCCAAATGGCACCCTATTCCCTATATAGTGCACAACTTGTGCACTTAACACTCATCTCCAGTTCCCTTTGGAACAATGGATGTTTCTGTGGTCGTTGGGTTTCAGTCTGTAAAGGACCACCCGTGTTTGATGTAGTGCACTTATCTCCCTCAACCCCCCCCCCCTCCCTCTCTCCCCCCTTGCTCCCTCCCCCCTTGCTCCCTCCTCCCCTCCATCCCTCCCTCCAGGTAGTGGTCATCCTGTTGTTCCTGGTCCTGCTGGTGGTCAGTCTGTACGGGACCACCCGGGTGCGAGACGGGCTGGAGCTGACAGACATCGTTCCCAGGGAGACCAGCGAGTACGACTTCATCGGGGCCCAGTTCAAGTTCTTCTCTTTCTACAACATGTACGTGGTGACCCAGCGGGCGGAGTACTCCCAGGCCCAGCCCCTGCTCTACCAACTGCACCGCCGCTTCAACACAGTCCGCTATGTACTGAGAGAGGACAATGGACAGCTGCCACGCATGTGGCTCCACTACTTCAGGGACTGGCTACAAGGTGAGACAGACGGGGATACATATACAGTACTTGGAAATATACAGGCTTGCACGCACACACTTTGTTGTTGTCATATTTGGCAGCCATCCTCATTAGCTGCAGTTGTTTTCCAGCAACATGAACTAAGCCTTCAGGCTCTTTGTAGACAAGTGCACAACACTGGTGAGGGTTGAAGTGCTTGTACATGTACGTGTGTATATTTATCTGTGTCTGCGAGTGTGTGTGTGTGTGTGTGTGTGTGGCTGTGCGGGGAGCTGCAGAGTGGGTGAGTTACAGAGAGCTGTGTTTAATATTGCTCAGTGAGATGGCTGGACAAATTGGACCCAGACAGCGAGCAGAGAGAGACCTAATACACTGTCCCAGAAACAAGCTACTGGCCAGGGGGAACATACAGGGGAAGAGGGGGAGGTCAGGAGGAGAGAAACACGATGAGAGAAAGAATGAATGAGTATTTGTGAAGTGGAGATAGAGAGCATGAAGGAGATCAATTAAGAGGTAGAGAGAGATATTCTCAGCTAGTTCTACTCTCATACAACGCACGAAGTAGCACAGTGTGCACCATGTCCCAACGTCTTTTAACAAGGCATTTGGTGAAGTCTCATAGTGTACTGCGGGGGAGAAATGTGTGTAATTACACAATCATTATCCCTCTGTGTGTTTGAAACAGAAACACATTGACCAGTAGGCTCTGGATTACTAGTCTCACAACTCAACCATTTGGAAGAGATTGAACACTTTCAACACTTTGTGCTGAGATTCAAGTTCAAGCAGACATAAGCATGCAAACAACCCACAGCCATACACAGAGAGAAAGACAGAGAGAGACCTGCTGCTGGTGTTGTTGCTTACACAGTCTCACTGCAGAATTTGACATTCATCCACTTTCTCCAAACATCAAATTTCGAACTTACGGGTTACATTTACATTACATTTTAGTCATTTAGCAGACGCTCTTATCCAGAGCGACTTACAGGAGCAATTAGGGTTAAGTGCCTCGCTCAAGGGCACATCGACAGATTTTTCACCTAGTCAGCTCGGGGATTAGAACCTGCGACCTTTCGGTTACTGGCACAACGCTCTTAACCGAAATGTTAAATGTAGGTACTCATTCTGAATGGTTAAGGTAAGGGTTAAGGTTTGGGATAGGGTTAAAACCAAAAAGAAAAAACTGTGTCCACACCTGGGATCGAACACACAACCTTGTAATCCAGAGTCATGGGCTTACTTGATGGTAATAGCGCTCACTGTTTCCCCTAGTGGCCGGTTTCAAAGGCATTTCCCGACATCCTCAGGACATGGATAGACATCCAATTTTGACGTCAATCTTGAACGACCTGGCTGGTCTAGATTTGACATTTCATGCAGTTTTTGTATTCTGATGATGGAATTCTGAACACGTCATGCGTCTACACCTACATTTAAATGTGTCTAACGTGTCCAAAGTGTGTCCGGATTCCCTTTTCCTGCGCTGTATTCAAATGCCAGTATGTGTTCTGCAAACGGTGGAACAGGCTAAATCTGATAATAACACAACTACCACTTGATGGCAGTAGCCATCTACTGTAACTAACTAGCCAGCTACCCTATGTAGCTAGCCAGCAAGCTAGCTAGCAAAGATAAAGGGATTACAAACAGATTAGCATAACTCTACCCAAACAATTTCTTTCTTCTAAATAAGCTAGCTGGCTAGCATTTACGAATAATAATAATAATAATAATATGCCATTTAGCAGACGCTTTTATCCACATTTTTGTGTATGGGTGGCCCCGGGGATGGGTGGTCCCGGGGATCGAACCCACTACCTTGGCGTTACAAGCGCCGTGCTCTACCAGCAGAGCTACAGAAGGCAGCAAACACGTTCCTCACATGCTAGGAACATATTTCCTTCAACGTTTAATGAAGTTGCATGTAAGTGCCAAGTGTAGACACAGCCTGAGGTCTTGGGGACTGTGTAATTGTGAGAGAAAGAGAGGTTGTCGTGAGACTGAAATGGAGCGGGTTCTACAGAAGATGTCATTACTGTGTTGTATGGCTATATCTAGTCAATATCCCCATAGGCCAGAGCTCAAAGTATGGTGATCTCCTTGAAGAGAGACTTCACATGTTGTTGTGCTCTGTTTTTATTTGTGTCCGATTGGTCATGCTCCTATTGACTGCTGCTGTGTCTCTGTTGGCTGTTTGAGGAGTGCAGTCAAGGCGTGACCGTGGTCTGCTTTTAAAGGTTCCCTTGAAGGATGCAGTCATACCCACCAGTCGTTGTGGAAAACATAGTCCTGTTTTGGATATGTGGTCATGTTTTGTGTGTCTTTTATAAAATAGTATTGTCCTGTTTTGCAGTGTGAATGTAATCAACGTTCCCTCTAAGCTGCTCGCGTGTGCGGGCACGCAGTAGCCCCAAGACTGCCGTGCAGAATAAATATTAGCCCACAGAGAGAAGCACGAGATTTAATGAACTTCACTCAACTTTCTAGAGCAGTGGTCACCAACCGGTCAATCGCGATCCACTGGTCGATCTCCAAGGCATTCATAGTCGATCACCAAACATTTCTGTAAAAAACCCATTGATAAAGTGTTTTCTTTCTTCGTCTCGGGCTGTTTGCGGTAGATGCATCTGATTCAGCTGCCCTGTGAGCCGGGTAGGCAACTGTTGCCATTTTTAACCATTTCATGTGTCTGAAGGTACAAACTCTGCATTCCCGGCGGGCCCGGAGAGCAAATCAAGTGCACTATAGGCCTACCTATAGTGCACTTGATTTGAGATTAAAGCGAGAGCTGCATGTAGCCACGTGTGCACATTGTGTTCATACCCTTTGCTAGTTAGTGAGTTATTTGCCCAGTTATAGATCATTTGTAGTCAACAATAGGGGAGTGATTACTTCCTACAAGAGCACAAAACGTGTACATTTCTAGACATCTTTGAAAAGCCAGTCAGGTAAAGACCTTTTTTTGTCTTAAAGGGGCAGTGTTGTATTTTGAGACAGGCTTGAATAAGCTAAGTAGCCAATAGGCAGAGGGTAGCATAATTTGTCTGATTCTCTGTAATAAATAATAATAATGCATTTTATTTTGTAAAGTTGTTTCTTGCATCAAACAACACGAACACATTTTCAGTCACCTCCTTGTCTGAAGGACAAGTGGATAAACAGGTTAATGTCAAGCCCTGCATGTTTTTTTCAAAAGTCTCATGGAATGTAGGCCTACATTGAACACCACACATTGGCTGCTACTGTGGGCTGAATGATAGAATAGTTATTTCCAATGTTATGGGATGCATTTTCTCCATTGTTTTTGATGGTAGGCCACTCTGGTAGGCCTACATTATGATCAAATAGCCACAGCAGCTACTTGGCCACTTTTAAAACTGTAACTTAAAGCAGGTACATCCTCAGTGTTCACAGTAAACGCGCACTGGAAGTGACATTTTCAAGTTTGCGCTCAGCAGACCTGAAATTTGCTCAGCGCCTAAATAAATACATGGAATGTAACGTGTTGATAGTTCTGTTGGTCTTGGTGTAGAATGTGGTCCTGTTTTTGATGTGGTCATGTTTGTGTGTTCAAGTCAGTTTTGTAGACTAGAGTGGGGTTGTGTTTAACATGTTGTGATGTATGGTTATGCTAAGGTTGTTTTGTGATGTTTGGTTATGGTTATGTTGTGGTCGTTTTGTGTGTTGTATGTATGGTTATGTTATCGTTGTTTTGTGTGTTATGATGTATAGTTTTGCAACGTGGTCTCAGAGCATTCCGTATTATTCTGTAAGTAAATCCAAGATACTCCATTTAGTATGATACGTGTTAATTTGTGGATGTCCATCATCGATTTCGTATATGTTACAAATTACAATTCATATGATATGTTACGAATTGCAATTTGTACAATTTGTTAAGAATTCACAAAAATTACAATATATTACCAATTAACAAAACGTATGATATGTTACGAATTCCAATTTGTTTTGCTATCATTAGCTAGGTGGCTAGCACTAATGTTAGCTAGCTCTATGAGTTAAGGTTAAGGTTAGGAGTTAGGTTAAAGGGTTATGATTAGGGGAAGGGTTAGCTATATGGTTTAAGGTTAGGGTTAGGGGAAGGGTTTGCTAAAAGGGTTAAGGTTAGGTTTAGGGGAAGGGTTAGCTAACATGTTATGTAGTTGCAAAGTAGCTAAAAAGTAGTAAGTCATTGAAATGTTGCTAATTAGCTCAAATGCAAAAGTTGTCCGTGATGATATTCGAACACGCAACCTTTGGGTTGCTGGACATTCGTGTTATAAGTCTACCCATCCACCCTGACCAACCACCATCCTTTCGATTTTGCCATAGCCCTTTCCTGCAGTCAAATGACCTAGTGGCCTCATGGGTGGAATCTTATTCATATTTAAAATAATTTCATAATTAATAAACTTTTTTTTTTTTTTAAACGCTGAAAATGTCAAACAGTTTTGTTATATTTCAGTCTTCTGTGATATATATAAAGTATAATATTGGGATGGAAACTCAAAATGGAATACATTTCAACTCTATATCTGACAAGGTACAGGTGTCTTCTTTTTTGTAAGCCCATAACGATGTGTGTGAGGTGTATACTTTTGTTTCAAGGTAGATTTGTTTACGAGTACCAAGAAACACTGTGTGACCCTGATTTAGCCCACTGCAGTAATTATTAACCCTCTGTCTTATGTAACCATACCAAACATAACATCAAATCAAATCAAATTGTATTTGTCACATGCGCCGAATACAACAGGTGTAGACCTTACCGTGAAATGCTTACTTACAAGCCCTTAACCAACAATGCAGTTCAAGAAATAGAGTTAAGAAAATATTGACTAAATAAACTAAAGTAAAAAAATAAATAAAAAAAATAACAAGAACAAGGTTATGTACAGGGGGTACCGGTACCGGATTTGTACATGTACAGTTGAAGTCGGAAGTTTACATACACCTTAGCCAAATACATTTAAAATCAGTTTTTCACAATTCCTGACATTTAATCCTAGTAAAGATTCCCTGTCTTATGTCAGTTAGGATTACCACTTTATTTTAAGAATGTGAAATGTCAAAATAATAGTAGAGAGAATTATTTCTTTCAGCTTTTATTTCTTTCATCACATTCCCAGTGGGTCAGAAGTTTACATACACTCAATTAGTATTTGGTAGCATTGCCTTTAAATTGTTTCACTTAGGTCAAACGTTTCGTGTAGCCTTCCACAAGCTTCCCACAATAAGTTGGGTGAATTTTGGCCCATTCCCCCTGACAGAGCTGGTGTAACTGAGTCAGGTTTGTAGGCCTCCTTGCTCGCACACGCTTTTTCAGTTCTGCCCACAAATCTTCTATAGGATTGAGGTCAGGGCTTTGTGATGGCCACTCCAATACCTTGACTTTGTTGTCCTTGAGCCGTTTTGGCACAACTTTGGAAATATGCTTGGGGTCATTGTCTATTTGGAAGACCAATTTGCGACCAAGCTTTAACTTCCTGACTGATATTTGAGATGTTGCTTTAATATAGCCACGTAATTTTCCTTCCTCATGATGCCATCTATTTTGTGAAGTGCACCAGTCCCTCCTGCAGCAAAGCAACCCCACAGCATGATGCTGCCACCCCCGTGCTTCACGGTTGGGATGGTGTTCTTGGGCTTGCAAGGAACCCCCTTTTTCCTCCAAACATATCGATGGTCAGTATGGGCAAACAGTTCTGTTTTTGTTTCATCAGACCAGAGGACATTTCTCCAAAAAGTACGATCTTTGTCACATGTGCAGTTGCAAACCGTAGTCTGGCTTTTTTTATGGCGGTTTTGGAGCAGTGGCTTCTTCCTTGCTGAGCGGCCTTTCAGGTTATGTCGATATAGGACTCGTTTTTGTCACGATCGTCTTGAGAAGTGGACCAATGCGCAGCGTGATAAGTGAACATATTTTATCATTTAATTCACCACACGAACAAAACAACAAACGATACGAAACGTGAAGTCCTTGGTTACAATACAAACCATACGGAACAAGATCCCACAAACACTGTGGAAAAAACAGGCTACCTAAATATGGTTCCCAATCAGAGACAACAAGCAACAGCTGATTCACGTTGCCTCTGATTGAGAACCACACCGGCCAACATAGAAACAAACGAACTAGAAAATCACCCTAGCACACAACACACATAGAAACCACACACCCTGGCTCAACATAACAGAGTCCCAGAGCCAGTGCGTGACAGTTTTACTGTGGATATAGATACTTTTGTACCTGTTTCCTACGGCATCTTCACAAGGTCCTTTGCTGTTGTTCTGGGATTGATTTGCACTTTTTGCACCAAAGTACGTTCAAATGATGTCAATTAGCCTATCAGAAGCTTCTAAAGCCATGACATAATTTTCTGGAATTTTCCAAGCTGTTTAAAGGCACCGTCAATTTAGTGTATGTAAACTTCTGACCCACTGGAATTGTGATACAGTGAATTATAAGTGAAATAATCTGTCTGTAAACAATTGTTGGTAAAACTACTTGTGTCATGCACAAAGTAGATGTCCTAACCAACTTGCCAAAACTATAGTTTGTTAACAATACATTTGTGGAGTGGTTGAAAACGTGTTTTAATGTTTCCAACCTAAATGTATGTAAACATCCGACTTCAACTGTAGGTAGGGGTAAAGTGACTATGCATAGATGATAAACAGCGAATAGCAGCAGTTTAAAAACATAGTGGGGGTGTATCAATGTAAATAGTCCGGGTGGCCATTTGATTACTTGTTCAGCAGTCTTATGGCTTGGGGGTAGAAGCTGTTAAGGAGCCTTTTGGACCTAGACTTGGCGCTCCGGTATCGCTTGCCGTGTGGTAGCAGAGAGAACAGTCTATGACTTGGGTGACTTGAGTCTTTGACAATTTTTAGGGCCTTCCTCTGACACCGCCTGGTATAGAGGTCCAGGATGGCAGGAAGCTTGGCCCCAGTGATGTACTGGGCCGTACTCACTACCCTCTGTAGCGCCTTATGGTCGGATGCTGAGCAGTTGCCATACCAGGTGGTGATGCAACCAGTCAGGATGCTCTCGGTGGTGCAGCTGTATAACTTTTTGAGGATCTTGGGACCCATGCCAAATCCTTTCAGTCTCCTGAGGGGGAAAAGGTGTTGTCGTGCCCTCTTCACGACTGTCTTGGTGTGTTTGGACCATGATAGTTTGTTGGTGATGAGGACACCAAGGAACTTGAAACTCTTGACCCGCTCCACTACAGCCCCGTCGTTGTGAATGGGGGAGTGTTCGGCCCAACCTTTCCTGTAGTCCACGGTCAGCTCCTTTGTCTTGCTCCCGTTGAGGGAAAGGTTGTTGTCCTCGCACCACACTGCCAGGTCTCTGACCTCCTCCCTATAGGCTCTCATCGTTGTCGGTGATCAGGCCTACCACTGTTGTGTTGTCAGCAAACTTAATGATAGTGTTGGAGTTGTCCTTGGCCACGCAGTCGTGGGTGAACAGGGAGTACAGGAGGAGACTAAGCACACACTCCTGAGGGGGCCCCGTCAGCGGCCCGTCAGGAAGTCCAGGATCCAGTTGCAGAGGGAGGTGTTTAGTCCCAGGGTCCTTAGCTTAGTGATGAGCTTTGTGGGCACTATGGTGTTGAACGCTGAGCTGTAGTCAATGAACAGCATTCTCACATAGGTGTTCCTTTTGTCCGGGTGGGAAAGGGCAGTGTGGACTGCGATTGAGATTGCGTCATCTGTGGCTCTGTTGGGGCGGTATGCGACTTGGAGTGGGTCTAGGGTTTCCGGGATGATGGTGTTGATGTGAGCCATGACCAGCCTTTCAAAGCACTTAATGGCTATTGACGTGAGTGCTACAGGCCGGTAGTCATTTAGGCAGGTTGCCTTCACTTTCTTGGGCATAGGGACTATGGTGGTCTGCTTGAAACATGTAGGTATTACAGACTCGGTCAGGGAGAGGTTGAACATTTCAGTGAAGACACTTGCCAGTTGGTCCGTGCATGCTATGAGTACACGTCCTGGTAATCCATCTGGCCCCGCGGCCTTGTGAACATTGACCTGTTTAAAGGTCTTGCTCACATTGGCTACAGAGAGCTTGATCACACCGTCATCTGGAACAGCTGGTGCTCTCATGCATGCTTCAGTGTTGCTTGCCTCGAAACGAGCATAAAAGGCATTTAGCTCATCTGGTAGGCTCGCTTCACTGGGCAGCTCGCGGCTGGGATTCCCTTTGTAGTCCGTAATAGGTTGCAAGTCCTGCCACATCCGAGTGTCAGAGCCGATGTAGTAGGATTCAATCTTTGTCCTGTTTTGACGCTTTGCCTGTTTGATGGTTCGTCTGAGGGCATAGCGGGATTTCTTATAAGCGTCCGGATTAGTCAGATTATTGTACCGTTCCTTGAAAGTGACAGCTCTAATCTTTAGCTCGGTGCGGATGTTGACTGTAATCCATGGCTTCTGGTTGGGATATGTACATACGGTCACTGTGGGGACGACGTCGTCGATGCACTTATTGATGAAGCCGGTGACTGAGGTGGTATACTCCTCAATGCCATTGGATGAATCCCAAAACATATTCCAGTCTGTGCTAGCAAAACAGTCCTGTAGCGTAGCATTCACGTCATCTGACTACTTCCATAATGAGCTTGTCACTGGTACTTCCTGCTTTAGTTTTTGCTTATAAGCAGGAATCAGGAGGATAGAATTATGGTCAGATTTGCCAAATGGAGGGCGAGAGAGAGCTTTGTATGTGTGTGGAGTAAAGCTGGTCTAGAGTTTTTTTTCCCTCTGGTTGCACGTGACATGCTGATAGAAGTGAGGTCAAACTGATTTAATTTGCCTCCATTGAATTCCTCGGCCACTAGGAGCGTCGCTTCTGGATGAGCATTTTCTTGTTTGCTTATGGCGTTATACAGCTCGTTGAGTGCGATAATAGTGCATCGCTTTGTGGTGGTAAATAGACGGCTACGAAAAATATAGATGAAAACTCTCGTTGGCCAATAGAACGGATGGTTGAGGCGGGTTACCCACTCGCCGATGAATTCTCACAAGGCACCCCGATCTCCGCCCCCTGTATTTCTGTCTTTCATTCACACAAATGACAGGGATTTGGGCCTGGTCTCGGAGAAGCACTATATCCTTCGCAGCGGACTTATTAAATAAAAAATATTTGTCCAGATCGAGGTGAGTAATCGATGTTCTGATATCCAGAAGCTCTTTTGAAATCAAATCAAATCAAATGTATTTGCCACATGCGCCGAATACAACAGGTGTAGACATCACAGTGAAATGCTTACTTACAAGCCCTTAACCAACAATGCAGTTTAAGAAAAAAATAGTTAAAAAAAAATAATTAAAGAGCAGCAGTAAAATAAAATAACAGTAGGAAGGTTATATACAGGGGGTACTGGTACAGATTCAATTTGTGGGGGCACCGGTTAGTTTTTGGTCATAAGAGACGGTAGCAGCAACATTATGTACAAAATAAGTTACAAACAATGCGAAAAAACACACAAAATAGCACAGTTGGTTAGGAGCCCGTAAAACGTCAGCCATCCCCTCCGGTACCATTATCATATTCTAATTTGAGTGTCCCAGATTTATGTGTACTATGTTACGTCTAGTCTATGAGACCAGTCTGAGTTTTGTTATGGTTGTGTTATGGTTGTGTTGTGGTTGTGTGTCTACAGCTCTGCAGGCAGCGTTTGACCAGGACTGGGAAGCGGGTCGGATCACACAGAGCAGCTACAGGAACGGTTCAGACGACGGGGTCCTGGCCTACAAACTACTGGTACAGACCGGACGCAGGGACAAGCCCATCAACTTCAACCAGGTGAGAGACATTTATTAATATCAGGCTAAACCGCTGCTACCAGGTGAGACTGGTCTCCAACCCATCTATTAAAACAAAGTGAGTTTGTGATCAAAACCCATTCATTTCAACTAGGTGGGAGTACAGTATAACGAAAATCCTTTATCTAAACCAGGTGGGTGTGGGATCGTAAGTCATTCACTTTAACCAGGGGATTACTTGATGATTACTCCACAGCAAGCCTGTCAACCTCTGTCCTTCTAATCTCTTGTCCTGACATGTAGCAGTGGTACAGTAGGATTGTACAAAATTAGATTTGACTAAGCCTCGGAGAATGGGATACTGAGTGATACACAGGCCATTTTGTCGTGTGTGTGGGTGAGTCTTTGTGCAGGTGTGCGTTGTAATGGTTTTGACTTAACTTGAGGTTAGTAGGGGTGCAAGGTAGGTCGGTCTACCAGAGAAATTGTATGAATTTTCCTTTTGTTTTGTGAGTCTGTCTCATCTGTCAGTCATAGTCTAGACCAATACAAAGGACTTATGTAAAAGTCAGTGTTGTAAAATACACCCTTAAACAAATAAATAACTGTTATTTTGCGTTGGTTGTATATTCAAAATAAATGATCTCACAAACAATCTCAATAATAATACCTTTGGTTCACTGAGGTAAATGCCCCCTACCTCAGCATTAAAACATTTGCACGGCCTGGTAAATGATTAGAGTGAATCCCAAGTTACCTCAGTCGCAAGCAATTGTCCATTCATAAATTCAGAATGCAATAACCACCCGTTCCACACAGCAATACCAATGATAAGGATTCACTATCTTTTCACCAACAACTGAACACATAACCCAAACCAACACGGAGTAAATCACAATAAAACGAATGAAATACCACTTGAAAAAAGTTGCAATTGGTCAGTCAGTCAATCCAATCCGCCAACAGATCTCCAGCGGAGAAAGGCCACGTAGAACAGCTGATACCAACAGAGATTTGTCCAACAATAGAAATGAGTGGGGCCGTTCTTTGTTAATGTTACGACACGGCTACAATGCACACTGTTAAATATAACAAAACAAAACGGTCTAAAGGAGCTATGGAACTGAGGGTTTGACTACCTCATTCGCACCACCATCACCCATTTTTGTGCAGCTGATGCTGGCAATTTAATAGGGAATGAAAGGGGAAGCGCAGCGTTGGGAGGAGAAGCACTGAGGCAGTTCAGACAAATTTGGGTCCGTCATAGGTTTCTCTCTCTCTACCCCTTCTCTCTCTTGCTGATGACTTTACCAAGCCCAGGAATTTACAGCCCTCACTGGGACTGCAAACCCACCTCTGAAAAAGCTATTAAGCCATTTTCTGCTATCTAAAGGCTAGAGATGCCCGACTCTAACCATAGTGTGTGTTTGTGTTCCCTTCTGCTTCAGATAAGACCGTTTAACAGCTTTACAGTGTCCCTAGGTCCTAGCTGGGTGTGATAGTAAGCCGCTAGAGAGAGGAAGGGGAAATAGATGTCATTATAAACTGGCTGGTTTGAGCCCTGAAATGCTGATTGGCTGAAAGCCATGACAAAACATGTATTTTTACTGCTCTAATTACGTTGGTAACCAGTTTATAATAGCAATAAGGCACCTCAGGGGTTTGTGATATATGGCCAATATACCACGGCTAAGGGCTATGTCCTAGCACTCCACGTTGCGTCGTGCTTAAGAACAGCCCTTAGCCATGGTATATTGGCCATATACCACACCCCCTCAAGCCTTATTGCTTAAATATAACACCTCCTGAAGTCTCAAGGTATGTGTTGGTGTGTGTGTGTGTGTGTGTGTGTGTGTGTGTGTGTGTGTGTGTGTGTGTTGGTGTACCTGGTGTACCCTAGATTCCCCACTATTTAGATAATTGTGTAGCCTAGCAGTATCTCCCAAATTGTGTTCTGCTACATATGTTGTTCTGTTAGTTGGATGGGCTTTTGCCTTTGGTTAGTTGATGGTGAACCACTGGCCTAGATGTCACAAAACAGTCAGGGCCTGGGAGGCGTGCTGGTGTGCGGGCAGCCCTGTGATGTCACTTCACACTGCAGGGTGGCGAGGGGCCGCCGACCGTGCTCCATGGGCTTCCCATGACAGCTTGAAGACATACAGTTATTACGTATCCTTAATGCAAGAGAGACCTCTCTCTCTCTCTCTCCCCCTCTCTCCTCTCCCATCCCTATGTTGAGAGAGAGAGAGAGAGAGAGAGAGAGGCGCTGCCTTTGCTACTGCTATCAAGAGCCCTTTTGTTCTCTGTCCGGATCCGACTAGGGTGCAGGGCATTCTGGGTATCCGTAGGGGTCAGGAAAAGCAAGCGCAAGCAACATTTGTACAGATGCTGTGTTCTTTTTATAGCTTTACTCCATTTGCAGGGTGGCATTTTCTTCAGTGTTAACAGCGAGGTTAACTACACACAGACGTGCACAGGGACCCCAGCCAATTTTTTTTATTGTTATGCTAACTCAAGCTATTTTCTTCGCCACCTAAAACCTCCTCACCTCCCTCAAAACCTACCCACAGGACTCCTCCTCACCCCTGCCTCTGTGAACGAGGGATTTATTGTCATGAGAAGGGTGAGTGGCGTGGAGCGGTGTGCAGTAATGGCTGCACCTCTAAGGAGGTAGCTAGCTACGACCCACCACTCTCACAAGGGATGGAGCTACAGCCCTCAGAGAGTCCCGAGAGGGGGAGTCTAGCGCTAGCCGCTAGGCTAGTTAGCTCTGTGGGGAGAAGGAGCTACAGTAGTTAGCTGCTTCTGTTAGGGAATGGAGTTAGTCGTAAGAGAAATGTGCTAGCTAGTTTGATGTGATGAAGCAGTGTGTAGTAATATCTGTAACGTTCAGGAGCTAGCTACTAAGGCCTGAGCCATGAGAGGGAGGGAGGGAGGGAGGGTAGCTTGCTACTAGCCAGCCCTGTTGTGGAAGTGAGGTAACCAGATAGTTCTGTAGGGGAAATGAGGTAGCAATGTGAGAGAAAGTAGAGAGGGAATCTAGTTATCTCTCAGAGGGCTAGGAGGGTGCACACTATATCAGGGCTGTGCGAGCTAGCCTTTGCTAGTTAGTTGTGCTGGAGAGGTAGGCTGGTTCCCAACACATTACCTGCATGTTTTTTTTGTTCTCAGGAGACTAACACATCTGACCGCCCCTGAAAAGCTGATTTGACATTTCCATTTTCCATGTTTAAATGTAGGCCTAATAATTCTGGGAAGCTCACCGAGAAGTACGGGAATTTTCAAAAGGCACCAGTGTTTGACTGTTTACTTTTCTTTTGGTTGGAGAGAGGTAGAAATATTTTCGCTTATTTTTAAAGCGGGTACGTTTTCTCATGCTCATGCATGGGTATAATTTCTGCGGTGGGTTCATCTGGAGGAAGTTTTGGGTCAACATGTCATTTCTACAATTCACGTCCGTTGCTAACCACCAATGCATTGAGCATCAATAACATTTTATTTTATTTGATATATCTCTCTCTCTTTCTCTTCCACCATCTCCTCTTCTCTTTCTTACTTTCTTGTCCTCCCTCCCCCTCATCTTCCCTCTCCTCCTCTCTTTCTTACTTCCTTATCCTCCCTCCCCCTCATCTTCCCTCTCCTCCTTCTCTCCCTCTATCCTTCTTTTTAATTATTAACTATTCTCTAGCTGACTAGGCAGCGCTTGGTGGATGTGGATGGCATCATCAACCCGGTGGCGTTTTACATCTACCTGACGGCGTGGGTCAGCAACGACCCGGTGGCGTACGCAGCCTCGCAGGCCAACATACGGCCACCCCCCCCGGAGTGGCTCCACGACCGCACAGACTCCATGCCCGAGACACGCCTCAGCAGTGAGTGACCAATCACAGCACACTTAACTTTCACAAACGCCTTTCAGCGGCCAATCATATCAGACACGCTTTTTTGCTCACATTAATTATTTGGCACTGGCCTACAGATTTGGCAATTCAATTGAAAAAGACAGACTTTATTTAAGAATTGTGCAGGAACAATTGTTTTCTACCTCTAGAGTTGAATAAAATACTGCTTTATGGTGACATGGAGCTATCCATCAGTTTGTGTCACTAAAGACAGTCATATACGTTTATGCACTACTTGTTAGCCTATGTTTTGTGGCCTAGCTATTCTGTGGGTTTCACCTTGAACATAACATTTTACCTCTTTTGCTCAACTTCAATTCCATAGGCTTGTATTACATTAGAGCTGCAGTTATGTTAGAGTACCTGTTTGACTCATTCCATCTGTGGAGTTACTGACCCTTATCTGCTTTCTGGTTTTAACTGAGGTAGTTTACAGTATACTGTACTGAGCTGTGTGTGTATGTGTGTGTGTGTGTGTGTGTGTGTGTGTGTGTGTGTGTGTGTGTATATGTGTGTGGGGGGCAGGGAATAGCGCACTGTGGTACTCTAATGGTGCCTGTGGTGAATGTCATAACTCTTACCACCACAGGCCCCTATGGATTGCACACACACACACTTAAAACTCTGTGACCCCAGAACTGCCTACACCCTGTTTTAATTTCCTTACCACACACACAGAGAGAGAGAGATGAGAGGAGAGAGATGATGAGAGAGAGTGAGAGGAGTGAGAGAGAACGAGAGAGAGAGAGAGAGAGAGAGAGACGGGAGATCGCTCATAATCGACATCTCTATCGATCTAAGACCCTAGTACTGATCTCTTCTCTCTCTCTCTCTCTACGTCTCATATTCGCTCTAGAGCATCTACTCTTAAGCTCTCCTCTCAGCCGAGCCGTTAGGCAACATCTTTGAGTGAGAGATGAACGATTGGTTAACAAGCAAAGGCTTTGGTGGGATAGGCGATTGGCTAACAAGCAGGAAGTGCATTACAGGGGTGAAGATGTGATTGGATAACAAGCAGTGAGTGTAAATATGATTGGCTAAGCAAGGTAGAGAGCTTAGCTGTACAGGAACCCCCTGGAGCAGAGCTCCAACTCCCAGTCCTAATGGACATTTATATTGGAGATTATAATGGGCCAAACCATGTTAGCAAGTAGTGCTGGCTGACCCTCCAGGCACTGGAACACACAAGCACACACACACCACAGAGAGTCTTTGCGGTGTCATTTTTGGGATGTTTTTGATCAAACATATGTTTTCGAAATAAAAGTCTTTGTAATAAAAAATCCTAGGTAAAACAATGTGGAATGGATTTTATTAGTGGGGGTGTGGTGGATATAATATATTATAGTGGGTGTTGTGGGTATATGTACACTGCTCAAAAAAATTAAGGGAACACTTAAACTCCAAGTCAATCACACTTCTGTGAAATCAAACTGTCCACTTAGGAAGCAACACTGATTGACAATACATTTCACATGCTGTTGTGCAAATGGAATAGACAACAGGTGGAAATTATAGGCAATTAGCAAGACACCCCCAATAAAGAAGTGGTTCTGCAGGTGGTGACCACAGACCACTTCTCAGTTCCTATGCTTCCTGGCTGATGTTTTGGTCACTTTTGAATGCTGGCGGTGCTTTCACTCTAGTGGTAGCATGAGACGGAGTCTACAACCCACACAAGTGGCTCAGGTAATGCAGCTCATCCAGGATGGCACATCAATGCGAGCTGTGGCAAGAAGGTTTGCTGTGTCTGTCAGCGTAGTGTCCAGAGCATGGAGGCGCTACCAGGAGACAGGCCAGTACATCAGGAGATGTGGAGGAGGCCGTAGGAGGGCAACAACCCAGCAGCAGGACCGCTACCTCCGCCTTTGTGCAAGGAGGAGCAGGAGGAGCACTGCCAGAGCCCTGCAAAATGACCTCCAGCAGGCCACAAATGTGCATGTGTCTGCTCAAACGGTCAGAAACAGACTCCATGAGGGGTGGTATGAGGGCCCGACGTCCACAGGTGGGGGTTGTGCTTACAGCCCAACACCGTGCAGGACGTTTGGCATTTGCCAGAGAACACCAAGATTGGCAAATTCGCCACTGGCGCCCTGTGCTCTTCACAGATGAAAGCAGGTTCATCTGTGACAGACGTGACAGAGTCTGGAGACGCCGTGGAGAACGTTCCAGCATGACCGGTTTGGCGGTGGGTCAGTCATGGTGTGGGGTGGCATTTCTTTGGGGGGCCGCACAGCCCTCCATGTGCTCGCCAGAGGTAGCCTGACTGCCATTAGGTACCGAGATGAGATCCTCAGACCCCTTGTGAGATCATATGCTGGTGCGGTTGGCCCTGGGTTCCTCCTAATGCAAGACAATGCTAGACCTCATGTGGCTGGATTGTGTCAGCAGTTCCTGCAAGAGGAAGGCATTGATGCTATGGACTGGCCCGCCCGTTCCCCAGACCTCAATCCAATTGAGCACATCTGGGACATCATGTCTCGCTCCATCCACCAATGCCATGTTGCACCACAGACTGTCCAGGAGTTGGCGGATGCTTTAGTCCAGGTCTGGGAGGAGATCCCTCAGGAGACCATCTGCCACCTCATCAGGAGCATGCCCAGGCGTTGTAGGGAGGTCATACAGGCACTTGGAGGCCACACACACACTACTGAGCCTCATTTTGACTTGTTTTTAGGACATTACATCAAAGTTGGATCAGCTTGTAGTGTGGTTTTCCACTTTAATTTTGAGGGTGACTCCAAATCCAGACCTCCATGGGTTGATAAATTTGATTTCCATTGATAATTTTTGTGTGATTTTGCTGTCAGCACATTCAACTATGTAAAGAAAAAAGTATTTAATAAGATGATTTCATTCATTCAGATCTAGGATGTTTAAGTGTTCCCTTTATTTTTTTTGAGCAGTGTATATTATAGTGGGGTGAGGTGGGTATATGTATATTATAGTGGGGTGAGGTGGGTGTAAAGATATTATAGTGGGGTGAGGTGGGTGTAAAGATATTATAGTGGGGTGAGGTGGGTGTAAAGATATTATAGTGGGGTGAGGTGGGTGTAAAGATATTATAGTGGGGTGAGGTGGGTATATGTATATTATAGTGGGTTGAGGTGGGTACAAGATATTATAGTGGGGTATTTGTATTTATTAAGGATCCCCATTAGCTGCTGCCAAGGCAGCAGCTACTCTTCCTGGAGTCCAGCAACATTAAGGCAGTTACATACAATTTAAAGTATTACATGACATTACATTTCAGAACACTTTACCCAATACATTTAGTGTGTTCCCTCAGGCCACTACTCCACTATCACATATTTACAATACAACATCCATGTGTACGTGTGTGTAGAGTGTGTGTCTTATCATGTGAATGTGTGTCTGTGCCTGTGTGTGTGTGTGTCTCTTCAGAGTCCCCGCTGTTACATAAGGTGTATTTTTATCTTTTTTTAAATCTGATTCTACTGCTTGCATCAGTTACCTGATGTGGAATTGAGTTCCATGTAGCCATGGCTCTATGTGTGTGTGTCTCCCACAGTCTGTTCTTGACTTGGGGATTGTGAAGAGACCTTTGGTGACATGTCTTGTGGGGTATGCATGGGTGTCCGAGCTGAGTGTTAGTAGTTTAAACAGACACCTCGGTGCATTCAGCATGTCAACACTTCTTACAGAAACAAGTAGTCATGAAGTCAATCTCTCCTCCACTTTGAGCCATGAGAGATGTACATGCATATTATTAATGTTAGCTCTCCGTGTACATTTAAGGGCCAGCAGTGCTGCTCTGTTCTGAGCCAATTATAATTTTCTGAGGTCTCTCTTTGTGGCACCTGACCACACGACTGAACAGTAGTCCAGGTGCGACAAAACTAGAGCCTGTAGGACCTGCCTTGTTGATAGTGTTGTTAAAAAGGCAGAAGTGCTTTATTATGGACAGACTTCTCCCCATCTTAGCTACTGTTGTATCAACATGTTTTGACCCAGACAGTTTACAATCCAGGGTTACTCCAAGCAGTTTAGTCACCTCAACTTGCTCAATTTCCACATGATTTATTACAAGATTTAGTTGAGGTTTAAGGTTTAGTGAATGATTTGTCCCAAATACAATGCTTTTAGTTTTTGAAATATTTAGGACTAACTTATTCCATGTCACCCATTCTGAAACTAACTGCAGCTCTTTGTTAGGTGTTGCAGTATTTAAATTCGCTGTAGTAGCTGATGTCTATAGTGTTGAGTCATCCGCCTACATAGACACACTGGCTTTACTCAAGGCCAGTGGCATGTCATTAGTAAAGACTGAAAAAAGTAAGGGCCTAGACAGCTGCCCTGGGGAATTCCTGATTCTACCTGGATTATGTTGGAGAGGCTTCTACTAAAGAACATCCTCTGTGTTCTGTTAGACAGGTAACTCTTAATCCACAATATAGCATGGGGTGTAAAGCCATAACACATACGTTTTTCCATCAGCAGACTATGATCGATAATGTAAAAAGCCGCACTGAAGTCTAACAAAACAATATTTTTAGCATACATTTCTCTCAGCCAATTATCAGTCATTTGTGTGAGTGCTTGTTGAATGTCCTTCGATAAAAGCATGCTGGAAGTCTGTTAGCATTGTAAAATACAATATTTTCCAAAAGTTTACTAACGGTTGATAACAGGCTGATTGGTCAGCTATTTGTGCCAGTAAAGGGGGCTTTACTACTCTTAGGTAGCGGAATTACTTTTGCTTCCCTCCAGGCCTGAGGGCACACACTTTCTAGTAGGCTTAGATTGAAGATATGGCAAAAAGGAGTGGCAATATCGTCCACTATTTTCCATCCAAGTTGTCAGACCCCGGTGGCTTGTCATTGTTGATAGACAACAATACTTTTTTCACTTCTTCCACACTCACTTTACGGAATTCAAATTACAATGCTTGTTTTTCATAATTTGATCAGTTATACTTGGATGTGTAGTGTCAGCGTTTGTTGCTGGCATGTCATGCCTAAGTTTGCCAATGAAAAAATCATTGAAGTAATTGGCTATATCAGTGGGTTTTGTGATGAATGAGCCATCTGATTCAATGAATTATGGAGCTTAGTTTGCCTTTTTACCCAAAATTTCATTTAAGGTGCTCCAAAGCTTTTTACTATAATTCTTTATGTCATGGGGTGGGTATAAGATATTATAGTGGGGTGAAGTGGGTATAAGATATTATAGTGGGGTGTGGTGGGTATAAGATATTATAGTGGGGTGTGGTGGGTATAAGATATTATACATTTACATTTTTACATTTTAGTCATTTAGCAGACGCTCTTATCCAGAGCGACTTACAGTTAGTGAGTGCATACATTATATTTTTTCATACTGGCCCCCCGTGGGAATCGAACCCACAACCCTGGCGTTGCAAACGCCGTGCTCTACCAACATCCCTGCCGGCCATTCCCTCCCCTACCCTGGACGACGCTGGGCCAATTGTGCGCCGCCCCATGGGTCTCCCGGTGAAGTGGGTGTAAGATATTATAGTGGGGTGTGGTGGGTATAAGATATTATAGTGGGGTGTGGTGGGTATAATATATTATAGTGGGGTGTGGTGGGTATAAGATATTATAGTGGGGTGTGGTGGGTATAAGATATTATAGTGGGGTGTGGTGGGTAATCATATTATCAGTGGTGTGTGGTGGGTCTCCAGCTATTCTCGTGGGGTGTGGTGGGTCTCCGCTTCTTTAGTGGGGTGTGGTGGGTCTCTATATTCATCACTGGGGGTGTGGTGGGTGTAGATCTTATGTGGGGTGTGGTGGGTCTCCGTCTTTGTGGGGTGTGGTGGGTCTACGCTTTCTAAATGGGGTGTGGTGGGTATCCCTCTTTCAGTGGGGTGTGGTGGGTTCAGCTATTATCGTGGGGTGTGGTGGGTCTCAAGCTCTTCTAGTGGGGGTGGTGGGTCTCCGTCTTCTGTGGGGTGTGGTGGGTCTCCGCATATTCTCGTGGGGTGTGGTGTGTCATCAAGCTCTTCTGTGGGTTGTGGTGGGGGTATAACTCTCTTCTAGTGGGGGGTGGGTGGTGGGGTACTCCAAGATCCTCTATCTCGTGGGGTGTGTTGGGGTCCCAAGAATCTTCTCGTGGTGTGGTGGTTGGGTATCATCGATAGTTATCGTGGGGTGTGTGGGGTCTAACCGGAAGAGAGGGCACATGACATGACATGGGGAGAATGACGTTAGTTTGATCAAGGCTGGGCCTCGGGCCCTACGGGAGAGAGTCTGGACCCCACTAGAACATGTGTCTTAGCAATGTTGCAATAGTCACTGCAAACCAAATGGTGTGTTTGTGTGTGTGAGTGAGAGAGGTAATGGTGATGATTCAAAGTTGTAATTACAGCATATCAACGCCAGGCCTGATGCTCTGCTGTCATTATCCCATCATTAGGCTGAGACTGGAGAGAATGGAACCCATGGTGCACTTGTTTGAACTCTACCATACCTGCACCCCCCCCCCCCCCCCCCCCCCCCCCCCCTCTGTGTAGTTCCTGCCGCCGAGCCCATCGAATATGCACAGTTTCCGTTCTACCTCAACGGGCTCCGCGAGACCCCCCAGTTTGTGGAGGCCATCGAGTCGGTGCGAGCCATCTGCAGTAACTACAGCCGCCAGGGCCTGCCCAGCTACCCCAACGGCTACCCCTTCCTCTTTTGGGAGCAGTACGTAGGCCTCAGACACTGGCTGCTGCTCTCCATCAGCGTGGCGCTAGCCTGCACCTTCCTCGTCTGTGCCCTCTTCCTGCTCAACCCCTGGACTGCCGGCATCATCGTGAGTACACACACTCAGACGCAGAGATATACACACACACACACAGATACATACACACAAAGAGATACCAGTGGCGACCCGTCATTCAGGGCAGCCCCACCTGTTTAGTTTTTGCCAGTTTTGCATGTTATTTTGGCATTAATACGTGTCACATAATTTTTTTAAATTAAGTTAATAAAGCCGCATACACAAATATGGTCTCTTTTTTGCTTTCTTGAGTAAGGAAGGCAGCTCCAAAATGCAGATGTTTCAGCCTAGCTTGTGTTGTGGCTTTGCTGGCATGCATCTAAACAAAATGTTTTGAGTTTGCCCTACCAAGATTGACATGCTAAAATCACCACTGAGAGATACACACTCACTCGTGCGTAGGGTTACAAAAGTAGGGTATATTACAGAAAACATTTTAAATTTACCAGTAAACTACCAGAATTGTTGTATCATTCAAGGATTTTATGTAATCTATCACAAGACATCTAGTGGCCCTTTTGGGTAGTTCAGATTATCACAGGTGTCTGTAATTATCTCTGGCCCACTGTGTGGCCTTATCACAAGTAAAATAATTAAATAAGATTATTTTGAAATAAAAACAATTTATGACAAAGCTGTAAAACATGATCCTAAATATAAACCATCAACTTAGTGAATACCATTGGTGTTTAATATGATGGTTTCAGCATGAAATATCCTTTATATATATTTTTTACACACTGATTTATTTTACTATGTCAATATGTATTTGTTGTCAATGTTTTGCTGTCAAACTGGTGGAAATTGTGAAATAAATCAATAGTTGGAAGAGTTAATAGAAAATGCAATTGTTGCTATTTTCTCTTGAACCATACATTCTTAGAAGAAAGGGTTCTTCAGCTTTCCCCATAGGAGAAACCTTTGGTTCCAGGTAGAACCCTCTGTGGAAAGGGTTCTCCATGGAACTCAAAACGGTTCTATTTGGACCCAAAACGGTTCTTCAAAGGGTTCTCCTATGGGGACAGCCGAAGAACCAGTTTAGGTTCTAGATAGACCATACACTCTTAGAAAAAAAAGTGCTATCTATTTGTAACGATGACGCTGGGAGTCAAGAAGCAGGTGGTAAGTTGAATAAAACAATGAACATGGAACGATACCAAACAGGAGTAGTGTCTGGACATGAAACACATCATCAATACTGTGTGGGGAATTAACCTAAGGGAGTGACAGATATAGGGGAAGTAATCAGTGAAGTGATGGAGTCCAGGTGAGTCTCATGATGAGGCGCAGGTGCGCGTAATGATGGTTGTCAGAGCCAGTGATTAGTAAACCGGCGACATCGAGCGCCGGAGAGGGGGTGCTGGAGTAGACGTGACACTACTAGAACAGGGATCATCAACTAGATTCACTCGCGGGCCGATTTCTTTCTTGAGCGGATGATCGGGGTCCAGAACATAATTACAAATAATTAGTAGACTGCAAATTGACCGCAAGAAGCCCAAATAGATATAATGTTTGACTAAAACATAATCATTTCAGACCATGCTTACATTTGTATACAATCACGTCTCTCTATTATGCGTGGGAATACTTGAGAACAGATTTAAAATCACTTGGAGCTGATTTCCTGGTGTTTTTACAGTCCATGTCCAACAATGAAAATGCTAATATATACATATATATATTTTTGATTTTTTTTTTGGCTCAGAAAACTTGGGGGGCAATATATAACTACGCGTGGGCCAAATCTGTCCTTTGGGCCGCCAGTTGGGGAACTCTGTAAACTCATGGACAATATGTACACAGATATAATAAATGAATACTATATATACAGTACCAGTCAAAAGTTTGGACACACCTACTCATTCAAGGGTTGTTCTTCATTTTTACTATTTTCTACATTGTAGAATAATAGTGAAGACATCAAAACTATGAAATAACACATATGGAATCAAGTAGTAACCAACAAAGTGTTAAACAAATCAACATATATTTTATATTTTAGGTTCTTCAAAGTAGCCACCCTTTGCCTTGATGACAGGTTTGCACACTCTTGCCATTCTCTCAACCAACTTAATGAGGAATGCTTTTCCAACAGTCTTAAAGGAGTTCTCACATATGCTGAGCACTTGTTGGCTGTTTTTCCTTCACTCTGCCGTCCAACTCATCCCAAACCATCTCAATTGGGTTGAGGTCAGGTGATAGTGGAGGCCAGGTCATCTGATGCAGCACTCCATCACTCTCCTTCTTGGTCATATAGCCCTTACACAGACTGGAGTTGTGTTTTGGGTCATTGTCCTGTTGAAAAACAAATGATAGTCCCACTAAGTGCAAACAAGATTGAATGACATATCGCTGCAGACTGCTGTGGTAGCAATGCTGGTTAAGTGTGCCTTGAATTCTAAATAAATCACTGACAGTGTCACCAGCAAAGCACCATCACACCTCCTCCTCCCTGCTTCATTTTTACATTTACATTTTTAGTCATTTAGCAGACGCTCTTATCCAGAGCAACTTACATTATCTATTTTTTTAATTAATTTTTTATACTGGCCCCCCGTGGGAATCAACGCCATGCTCTACCAACTGAGCTACATCCCTGCCGGCCATTCCCTCCCCTACCCTGGACGACGCTGGGCCAATTGTGCACCGCCCCATGGGTCTCCCGGTCACGGCCGGCTACGACAGAGCCTGGATTCGAACCAGGATCTCTAGTGGCACAGCTAGCACTGCGATGCAGTGCCTTAGACCACTGCGCCACTCGGGTTCATGGTGGGAACCTACTTTGCGTCTCATAAAGACGGCGGTTGGAACCAAAAATCTCAAATTTGGACTCATCAGACCAAAGGACAGATTTCCATCAGTCTAATGTCCATTGCTCGTGTTTCTTGGTCCAAGCAAGTCTCTTCTTATTATTGGTGTCCTTTAGTAGTGGTTTCTTTGCTGAAATTTGGCCATGAAGGCCTGATTCACGCAGTCTCCTCTGAACAGTTGATGTTGAGATGTGTCTGTTAATTGAATTCTGTGAAGCATTTATTTGGCCTGCAATTTCTGAGGCTGGTAACTCTAATGAACTTATCCTCTGTAGCAGAGTTAACTCTGGGTCTTCCTCTCCTGTGGCAGTCCTCATGAGAGTCAGTTTCATCATAGCGCTTGATGGCTTTTGCGACTATAGTCGTGGTCAAAAGTTTTGAGAATGACACAAATACTAATTTTCACAAAGTCTGCTGCCTCAGTTTTGATGATGGCAATTTGCATATACTCCAGAATGTCATGAAGAGTGATCAGATTAATTGCAATTAATTGCAAAGTCCCTCTTTGCATTGTAAATGAACTTAATCCCAAACAAAACATTTCCACTGCATTTCAGCCCTGCCACAATAGGACCAGCTGCCATCATGTCAGTGATTCTCTCGTTAACACAGGTGAGAGTGTTGACAAGGACAAGGCTGGAGATCACTCTGTCATGCTGATTGAGTTAGAATAACAGACTGGAAGCTTTAAAAGGAGGGTGATGCTTGAAATCATTGTTCTTCCTCTGTTAACCATGGTTACCTGCAAGGAAACACGTGCCGTCATCATTGCTTTGCACAAAAAGGGCATCACAGGCAAGGATATTGCTGCTAGTAAGATTGCACCTAAATCAACCATTTATCAGATCATCAAGAACTTCAAGGAGAGAGGTTTGCTCAGGAATGGCAGCAGGCAGATGTGAGTGCATCTGCACGCACAGTGAGGCGAAGACTTTTGGAGGATGGCCTGGTGTCAAGAAGGGCAGCAAAGAAGCCACTTCTCTCCAGGAAAAACATCAGGGACAGACTGATATTCTGCAAAAGGTACAGGGATTGGACTGCTGAGGACTGGGGTAAAGTCATTTTCTCTGATGAATCCCCTTTCCGATTGTTTGGGGCATCCGGAAAACACCTTGTCCGGAGAAGACAAGGTGAACGCTACCATCAGTCCTGTGTCATGCCAACAGTAAAGCATCCTGAGACCATTCATGTGTGGGGTTGCTTCTCAGCCAAAGGAGTGGGCTCACTCACAATGTTGCCTAAGAACACAGCCATGAATAAAGAATGGTACCAACACATCCTTCGAGAGCAACTTCTCCAAACCATCCAAGAACAGTTTGGTGACGACCAATGCCTTTTCCAGCATGATGGAGCACATTGCCATAAGGCAAAAGTGATAACTAAGTGGCTCGGGGAACAAAACATCTACATTTTGGGTCCATGGCCAGGAAACTCCCCAGATCTTAATCCCATTGAGAACTTGTGGTCGATCCTCAAGAGTCGGGTGGACAAACAAAACCCCCAAAATTCGGACAAACTATAAGCATTGATTATGCAAGAATGGGCTGCCATCAGTCAGAATGTGGCCCAGAAGTTAATTGACAGCATGCCAGGGCGGATTGCAGAGGTCTTGAAAAAAAAGGGTCAACACTGGAAATATTGACTCTTTGCATAAACTTAATGTAATTGTCAATAAAAGCCTTTGACACTTATGGAATGCTTGTAATTATACTTCAGTATACCAAAGTAACATCTCACAAAAATATATCATAACACTGAAGCAGCGAACTTTGTGAAGACCAATAATTGTGTCATTCTCAAAACCTTTGATCACGACTGTACTTGAAGAAACTTTAAAAGTTATTGAAATATTCCGTATTGACTGACCTTCATGTCTTAAAATAATGATGGACTGTCGTTTCTCTTTGCTTATTTGATCTGTTCTTGCCATAATATGGACTTGGTCTTTTACCAAATAAGGGTGTCTTCTGTATACCACCCCTACCTTGTCATAACAAAACTGATTGGCTCAAACGCAATAAGAAGGAAAGAAATTCCACAAATTAACTTTTAACAAGGCACACCTGTTAATTGAAATGCATTCCAGGTGACTACCTCATGAAGCTGGTTGAGAGAATGCCAAGATTGTGCAAAGGGTGGCTACTTTGAAGAATCTCAAATATAAAACATATTTTGATTTGTTTAACACTTTTTGGTTACTACTTGATTCCATATGTGTTATTTTATAGTTTTGATGTCTTCACTATTAGTCTACAATGTATAAAATAGTAAAAATAAAGAAAAACCCTTGAATGAGTAGGTTTGTCCAAACTTTTAACTGGTACTGTACATATTAATAAAAATAATAAAATAATAAATTACCAAAGATATAATAGATTGCCATAGATTTTCTGTTAATTACCAAATTTCCTGAAAATTCCGGTAACTTATGTAAATTACCAGTAGCTTTGCAACCCTACTCGTGCGACTACACACACACACACACACACACACAACACACACACACACACACCACAGTACACATTCTAAAGCTGCATTATTTTTGCATTGATTGCATGGCCAGAAAGTGTGTTGACATCATACTTGAGTATAAAGTCCATTTTCATAAATCTGTCAGATTAGAATCCTGTAAAAGGAGACTTCCTTATTACAGAACATTCCAAGAGGAGATGGGAGGAGAGGAGATGGGAGGAGAGGGAAGAGAAGAGAGGAGAAGGGAGGAGAGGAGTGGAGAGATGGGGAGTGGAGGAGAGGAGTGAAGAGAAGGGAGGAGAGGAGATGGGAGGAGAGGGAAGAGAAGAGAGGAGAAGGGAGGAGAGGAGTGGAGAGATGGGGAGTGGAGGAGAGGAGTGAAGAGAAGGGAGGAGAGGAGATGGGAGGAGAGGGAAGAGAGGAGAAGGGAGGAGAGGAGTGGAGAGATGGGGAGTGGAGGAGAGGAGTGAAGAGAAGAGAAGGGAGGGAAAGGAGTAGGGAGGAGAGGGAAGGGAAGGAAGGAGTGGAGAGATGGGGATTGGAGGAGAGTTTTTCTAGCCCAGTCCCGTCCCAGTGTTTATCTTGTGCTGTTGTGTTTAGTCTACTCTGTCTCTCCCAGAAACTGACCTCAAATAAATGGGAATAGGACACAAATGACCCATGCTACCTCCACTCCCACCTAAAATACAGCCCTTTTCCGTTTTTCTCTCCTACACATGTGCTGTAGGAGTTCCACATAGAGTGAATTTTGACTTTTTCCACATTTTGTTAAGTTACAATCCTATTATAAAACGGATCAAAACATTTTTCTTCTCATCAATCTACACACAATATCCCATAATGACAAAGTGAAAACAAGTTTTTCGATTTTTTTGCTGATTTAACTTATTTAAATAAGTACTCAGACCCTTCGCTATGAGACTCGAAATTGCTCAGGTGCATCTTGTTTCCACTGATCCTTGAGATGTTTCTACAACTTGATTGGAGTCCACCTGTGGTAAATTGAAATTGATTGGACATGATTTGGAAAGGCACACACCTGTCTATATAAGGTCCCACAGTTGAGAGTGCATGTCAGAGCAAAAACCAAGCCATGAGGTCGAAGGAATTGTCCGTAGAGCTCCGGAACAGGATTGTGCCTAGGCACAGATTTGGGGAAGGGTACGAAAAAATGTATGCAACATTGAAGGTCCCGAAGAACACAGTGGCCTCCATCATTCTTAAATGGAAGAAGTTTGGAACAACCAAGACTCTTCCTAGAGCTGGCCGCCCGGCCAAACTGAGCAATAGGGGGAGAAGGGCCTTGGTCAGGGAGGTGACCAAGAACCCGATGGTCAATCTGACAGAGCTCCAGAGTACCTCTGTGGAGATAGTAGAACCTTCCAGAAGGACAACCATCTCTGCAGTACTCCACCAATCAGGCCTTTATGGTAGAGTGGCCAGACAGAAACCAGTCCTCAGTAAAAAGCAAATGACAGCCCGCTTGGAGTTTGCCAAAAGGCACCTAAAGGACTCTCAGACCATGAGAAACAAGATTTTCTGGTCTGATGAAACCAAGATTGAAGTCTTTGGCCTGAATGCCAAGCGTCACGTCTGGCGGAAACCTTGCACCATCCCTACGATGAAGAATGGTGGTGGCAGCATCATGCTGTGGGGATGTTTTTCAGTAGCAGGGACTGGGAGACTAGTCAGGATCGAGGGAAAGATGAACGGAGCAAAGTACAGAGAGATCCTTGATGAAAACCTGCTCCGGAGTGTTCAGGACCTCAGACTGGGGCGAAGGTTCACCTTGCAACAGGACAACAACCCTAAGCATACAGCCAAGACAACGCAGGAGTGGCTTCGGGAGAAATCTCTGAATGTCCTTGAGTGGCCCAGCCAGAGCCCGGACTTGAACCAGATCGAACATCTCTGGAGAGACCTGAAAATAGCTGTGAAGTGACGCTCCCATCCAACCTGACAGCTTGAGAGGATCTGCAGAGAGGAATGGGAGAAATTCCCCAAATTCAGGTGTGCCAGGCTTGTAGCTTCATACCCAAGAAGACTCAAGGCTGTAATCGCTGCCAAAGGTGCTTCAACAAAGTGCTGAGTAAAGTGTCTTAACACTTATGTAAATGTGATATTTCAGTATTTTATTTTTAATACATTTGCAAACATTTTTAAAAAAACTGTTTTTGCTTCGTCATTATGGGGTATTGTGTGTAGATTGATGATGGGGGGAAAAAAACGATTTAATCCATTTTAGAATAAGGCTATAACGTAACAAAATGTGGAAAAAGTCAAAGGGTCTGAATACATTCCGAATGCACTGTATACTGTATATACTCACACTCATACAGCCCTGCTCTGTCTCTCCACCAGGTTGTGTTTTTACGACAGGCAGTGTCTAAAGAAGGGCGGGCGGACCACTTGTTCATCCTCTAGCTCAGGGGTCTCCAACCTTTTCTAATATGAGAGCTACTTTGAACAAATATAACATGTCTCTAGGCACATTCTTCTCTTCTCCTCTATCCTGCAACTCATCCCCGGATCCTTGGTGTACAAAAAATGTCAATATACACTACCAGTCAAAAGTTTTAGAACACCTATTTAGAACACCTACTCATTCAAGTATTTTTCTTTATTTTTACTATTTTCTACATTGTATAATAATAGTGAAAACATCAAAACTATGAAATAACACTTATCATGTACCCAAAGAAGTGTTAAACAAATCAAAATATATTTTATATTTGAGATTCTTCAAATAGCCACCCTTTGACTTGATGACAGCTTTGCACACTCTTGCCATTCTCTCAACCAGCTTCATGAGGTAGTCACCTGGAATGCATTTCAATTAACAGGTGTGCCTTCTTAAAAGTTAATTTGTGGAATTTATTTCCTTCTTATTGCGTTTGAGCCAATCAGTTGTGTTGTGACAAGGTAGGGGGGGTATGCAGAAGATAGCCCTATTTGGTAAAAGACAACTCCATATTATTCTAAGAACAGCTCAGATAAGCAAAGAGAAATGACAGTCCATCATTACTTTAGACATGAGGGTCAGTCAATCCGGAAAATTTCAAGAACTTTTAAAGTTTCTTCAAGTGCAGTTGCAAAAACCATCAAGCGCTATGATGAAACTGGCTCTCATGAGGACCGCCACAGGAATGGAAGACCCAGAGTTACCTCTGCTGCAGAGGATGAGTTCATTAGAGTTACCAGCCTCAGAAATTGCAGGCCAAATAATTGCTTCACAGATTTCAAGTAAGACACATCGCAACATCAACTGTTCAGAGGAGACTGTGTGAATCAGGCCTTCATGGTCGAATTGCTGCAAAGAAACCAGTACTAAAGGACACCAATAAGAAGAAGAGACTTGCTTGGGCCAAGAAACCCGAGCAATGGACATTATACCGGTGGAAATTTGTCCTTTGGTGTGGAGTCCAAATTGGAGATTTTTGGTTCCAACCGCATGTGTATTTCCCACCATAAAGCGTGGAGGAGGGGGTGTTATGGTGTGGGGGTGCTTTGCTGGTGACACTGTCTGTGATTTATTTAGAATTCAAGGCACACTTAACCAGCATGGCTACCACAGCATTCTGCAGCGATACGCCATCCAATCTTGTTTGGGCTTAGTGGGACTATCATTTGTTTTTCAACAGGACAATGACCCAACACACCTCCAGGCTGTGTAAGGGCTATTTTACCAAGAAGAAAAGTGATGGAGTGCTGCATCAGATGACCTGGCCTCCACAATCCCCTGACCTCAACCAAATTGAGGTGGTTTGGGAATGAGTTGGACCGCAGAGTGAAGGAAAAGCAGCCTACAAGTGCTCAGGATATGTGGGAACTCCTTCAAGACTGTTATAAAAGCATTCCAAGTGAAGCTGGTTGAGAGAATGTTAAGAGTGTGCAAAGCTGTCATCAAGGCAAAGGGTGGCTATTTGAAGAATCTCAAATATAAAAATATATTTTTATTTGTTTAACACTTTTTTGGTTACTACATGATTCCATATGTGTTATTTCATAGTTTTGATGTCTTCACTATTATTCTACAATGTAGAAAATAGTAAAGATAAAGAAAAACCCAGGAATTAGTAGGTGTTCTAAAACTTTTGACCGGTAAATGTACCTGGTAAAATAATGGTTAATTAACAGTATTCAGCTTGACAGGCCCCATACAATTATATTCAGAATTTTCCATAATTCTGTTTTCTCTGTTTTATTTTTCCTGGTTTAGAAATTCTTTCATTTTTTTTACTCTCAATAATACAATTATTCATAGAGAAACAACGGAAATGGATTTTCTGAATCCATGTCAATGCTTAAATCACACAAAAGAAAATGTTTCAGGTCTGGAAAAAAAACTAGCACATTTGTATTTTTGAGGGTAGTAACCCTTTTAATTGTGCATCTAGCAAGAGAGGAATGTGTTGATCTAGCAATGTTTCTGGTGCACATGTAGTTCTGTCAGGTAAGCCTACTTTGCGGTTAACATTTAATTTAGAAGGTTATTGGGGAAAGTCTTTCTTTTTACCCACACGACGGTTATCATTAGCATCTAGTACTGAGTGATTAGTGTTTTTGAGGTCGGTTCGGTTTCGGTTCGATTATTACAAAATAATCACGGTTTTCGATTTCAGGAAAAAAAAACAAAAAAAAACATTAAATGCACTATGCATTATGTGGGTTGAATGCTGCAACAACACAGAATAGCACAATTAATACAAATCCCGTGATGGTAGTGACTGCCCATTACTGTTTATCACTTATTAATCATTATTTATTCACACTTTACTTTAATAAAATATTCAGTTGTTATGTATAGTACATTAGTTTTATTTGATGACTATTATTTCATTCCAAGTCATCATCTCATCTCTATAGAGCTGCTGCCTATGCTGTCTGAGTAAATCACTATTTTAGTAGTTCTAAATGAAAGTCAGATAAATGAATAGCAGAATTTGCATATGACTGCTGAATATCAACTATCAATTACTTAGATCATGTATTTTCAGGTATAGATATTTTGCAAAGCAACTGCTCTCTATCCCTGTCAATCATGCATTCTTCTGTCTCTTCTCTCAGTGTCTGCCTGACCTACCTTAGTGTGCCAGACAGTAACATAACATAGCAGGGCATAAAAAATAATCACACAGAGGTGCGCAATTTAGGTGCGCAATTTATGGCTATTGTAGTTCATTACCACGTTTTCTGCGCTAAACTATGTAGAATATTGGCCTGTTGGAAAGGACAACTCCCTACTACATCGCACAGTTCGGGCTTGATCTGATTTAGCTCTCGAGAAACGTACTGCGCAATGTACGCATTGAGCTCAGAATCCCCCAAACAAAATGGAATTTAAATAATTGAACCAATGTTGGTCAATTAGTGTTTAGAACGAAAAATAACTGACATTTCGGTTTATCGCTCGGCACTATTAGCTTCTGGCTACATGGAGTGATAAAGAAACACGCGCACCAAACAGACAGACAGGGGCAATATTGCTGGAAATTAATTGGCAGATATTGTGTTACGTTTGGCTTTTTATGTCAATGTGGCTTTTATTGGATAGTAGCCGGGAGCTTTATGTTTGACAGTTTGCGATTGAACAAATTAAAAAATGCATGTACTTTCAGAATTGCTTGGCGAGCTACTCATAGGTGCTCGATCTACCCGTTGGAGACCCCTTCTCTAGCTTTACAAAACAAATAATAGGACAAGTTATGGCGCGGCTTGAATTTGAACAATTTTCTTTGTCCAGAACAGGCCACCTGTATCCTTACTTACACCCCCTATCCCCTGCCTCCTAACCTCCATAGCCAAACCCTTACCCCTGCCCTTACCCCCAGCTACAGGCCACACACAGACACACAGACACAGACACACACACACACACACACTAGTGATGACTTTGACTCCAGGTATCGATTCGTAAAAATAATATATATATATATATATATATATATATATATATATATATATATATATATAATCGCTAGGTCTGGTATTTGTCATCCTATAGCTTGTTTTCCATCTTCTTTTTAAATAGTGGACCAACATTTTTTCGGCACTTTTCCATTACTGATCAAAACTCGTTTTCTCATGATCTCTCTTGTCTGTCTGCAGCAGACATATATAGTGAGCAATATGCTTGGAACATCAAATCACAATAAAATTGCAGTATCGAATCAAAATGTATTGTATTGTGAGGTCCCTGGCAATTCCCAGCCCTAACACACACACACACACACACACATTTTGTTCTTCCACTAATCCCTTACCCTAACCCTAATTTTAACCCTAACGCTAAATCGAACCCCTAAGTTTAAAATAGCCTTTGTCTTCATGGGGATGTGTTAAATGTCCCCATGAGGGAGAGTTTTCTTGTTTTACTATCCTTGTGGGGACTTCTGGGTATTTTAGGCCCCAACAAGTATAGAAGGACCAACCCGCACACACAGACACACATGTTTTACTGTCTTTTGGTTGGGACGTTAAACGGGTGACCTGACTCTCTGTGGTCACTAAATATCACATTGCACTTATCGTAAGAGTAAGGGCGTTAACCCCGGTGTCCTGGCTAAATTCCCAATCTGGCCCTCTAATACCATCATGGCCACCTAATCATCGCTAAACCTAACCCCTAAGCTTTAAAATAGCCTTTGTCCTCATGGTGATGTGGGAAATATCCCCACGAGGGAGGATTTTCCTTGTTTTTCTATCCTTGTGGGGACCTAAAATCCCCAAAAGTCCCCACAAGGATAGTAAAACAAGGAAAATTCTCCCTTGAACCAAGAACCAACCCCCCCCCCCCCCCCCACACACACACACACACACAAACACACACACACTTTCTGTACCATTTCATGATTGATGGGTTCCTGTTTCTTCTAACCATAGAACAGAACGGTCATGAACGGTCATGTTGGGGTTCTGATTCTCTGTATCCTGGTCTTGTCTCTGATGACCGTGGAGATGTTTGGATTCATGCTGGGCTTGTTCTCTGGGTTAAAAACTGTACATGGTCTCTAATTGTCATTAACGGTTGTGTTGCGGTCTGTCTGTTTCAGGTCCTGGTCCTGTCTCTGATGACCGTGGAGTTGTTTGGTATGATGGGTCTGATAGGGATCAAGCTCAGTGCTGTTCCTGTGGTCATCCTCATTGCCTCTGTAGGCATCGGAGTAGAGTTCACTGTCCATGTTGCTCTGGTGAGTACACACACACACACAATATCTTTTACTATCCTTGTGGGGACCTACAATCCTATTTTCCCTAACCCCTAACCCAAAACTTACCCTAACCATAACCCTAACCTTAAACCTAACCCCTAACCATAACCCTAACCTTAAACCTAACCTTAAACCTAACCTTAAACCTAACCTTAATCCTAACCTTAAACCTAACCCCTAAGCCTAAAATAGCTTAAAATAACACACGCACACACACACAAAGAAAGTGTTTTGTATATTTACAAATGACATTATAGTTTGACTGAGGAGTTGTGTGTGTATGTGTGTGTGTGTGTGTGTGTGTGTGTTGCAGGCGTTCCTCACAGCGATAGGAGACCGTAACAGACGGGCAGTGCTGGCGTTAGAACACATGTTTGCTCCTGTGTTGGACGGAGCCTTCTCTACTCTACTAGGAGTTCTCATGCTAGCAGGCTCAGAGTTCGACTTCATCGTCAGGTGAGTGGGACCAGTTGTGGAACACAGACAGACACACACACAAACACACACACACACGAACACACACACTCATGCACAAAGACTACATGCACACTCTCATACACACATGCTCATGCAAAGAGACTCATACTCTCTCTCTCACACATGCGCAATCTCTCCCACTATTTCTAATACACACTAGTGTTGTCACGATACCAGAACTTTTACTTCGATACCAATACCAAGTTTAGTATCAAGATGATTGATATCATCATGATGCTCAATACCAAAATGATACCAAAACGATAGCACTGCAAAAAAAAGAAAGCATATTATCCCTATCAGTCACGAGACCCCAGCAAAAATCTGCTATTCATTTATCTGACTTTCATTTAGCTGCATGTCCAGGCCTTATATTTAGCATCACAATGAAGTGTTTGCCATTTTCTTTTCAGGACAAGCAGGGCTACAAGTAAAACACAAAACAATTTGACATAAACAATTGCATGTTTAAGTTTTATTGACAAATGTCATTTTAAAAAATGTCAGCAAAAGCCTGATAAAAATGAATTTATATGAATGCTGTAAGTACATTAATTATTTGCTCACTAAGAAATTAATATCAAACTAGTCAGTGACAACTGTGTGGAGTTTGTGACAGCATCCTGTAGGTTCATGCTCTACAACATTCGGAGAGTACGACCCTGCCTTACACAGGAAGCGGCACAGGTCCTAATCCAGGCACTTGTCATCTCCCGTCTGGATTACTGCAACTCGCTGTTGGCTAGGCTCCCTGCCTGTGCCATTAAACCCCTACAACTCATCCAGAATGCCGCTGCCCGTCTGGTGTTCAACCTTCCCAAGTTCTCTCACGATAAAGATCTGCCCTTGTCTCACAAACACCGCTCTAGCCCAGCCCCCATTAATCACACAGACTAATGTTTGGTATTTATGGATGCAGAATAATTTGATGGATCCAATAGTACAGAAGTCTGAAGCTCAAACACACAATGTTTATAAGGGATTAGATGTCCAAAACGCACTGGCGTTACAGTGGGACTCATTGGGTTAACCAAGGTCACAGAATGGCACTTGATCCAGAAAGCTAAACTCAGCTACTGCTCTGTTCAATCGTTCAATATCATTACATTTGACATTTCTGACGTAAAAAAAAATTCTGAGACAGCCGTGTATGCATTAATGAATCAATTATACAATCGTACATTTGACTTTGTTTTTACCAATCTAACTACATAACAACATAATGGTAATAATTTATTTGAATGACAAATCTCAATTGATAAACTGGGTAAATCAAGATGTAGCCTACGCCTATTCACATGAATGCATATTCAATAGGAGTGTGTGCATGCATTGAGTTATTGAGCTTGTTTGGGCTGATTTCAGAGGATAGAGATGACAAACAATCTGTTTCCATTTTGGGACTTATTTTATTGTACTGATCATCATAATTTGCATAGAAGTAGTTTATTTTATAAAAGTGGCAAGAGGGGGGCGCGAGGGGGGCGGCCTGGAGTCAGTTCGCTGAGGCAATAGATAATCTTTGGGAGAGATGTGAGAGAGATACCGATTAAGTGAATTAATTACGTTTTGGTGGCAGCCAGCTTTGAAATCAGCATATTTTGCGTTATGGTTTGCATATTATCACAAACAAAGTACTAGGGTAGTGAATTGAAGATAGCTTCAGCTGTAAGCTAGCAAGAAAAGTTAGCCTACAAAGCTGAAAGCTACTGTTATCTTCTTGCATTGTAGTTTTCTAGCCTGTATGGACATTGTTTTGAGAACAGTAATGGACAGTTTCAACATTTCAAAATGGCGGTGTCACAAGTGTGTTAACTTCTGTGATTTTGGTGGTGTTTCAGTGGCGTCAGTCGAGCGTTAAGGCTGTGCCTGAGCCTGCGTGTCATACAGGAATCTACCTGAAACACCACTCATCCGTGAAGGCCGCTTTTCCCTCCATCCCTTTCTATTCTTCCTGCCCTCTTTTTTATTTTCAAGTCTTCACCCCAACCTCTCATGCCCTGTTACAACACTATACCTCCTCTCTCTCTCTCTCTCGCTCGCTCTCTCTCTCTCTCTCTCTCTCTTTCTCAATCTCTCTCTCTCTCTGTCTCTCTCTCTCTCTCTCTCTCTCACTCACTCTCACTCTCACACACACACATCAAAACTACTGTAGTTGAGGGGAAGGATGGGAGAAATGGAAATGAAAACTGACACAATGTGGGGGTGTGGGGGGATGAGCAAAAGTTCCTATTATTAAGTGCTAAGCATATTGGCTCTAAATTTAAAATGTTCATTG